TTAGAGAAAAGATACTCTCGGGAGATATTGCTATAAAGTTCGTGAAGTCGAATGATCAGCTTGCAGATATTTTCACCAAGTCCCTCACTGGTCCTCGTATTAACTACATATGTAACAAGCTCGGTACATATGATTTATATGCACCAGCTTGAGGGGGAGTGTTAGAATAGTCATGTAATTAGGAGTAAATAACCCTAATCCAATATGTATTAGGAGTAGGATATGTTATGTGTGTATATAGGGCTCATTGTATCGTGTTAAACACAAGTCAATATTAATCAATAATATTTTCTCCCGTGCATTCTCACACACACACACACACACACACACATATATATATATATATATATAATTTTTTTTTTTTTGAAAACGGACCAACTTTGGTTGGTTTTTTGGCCGGTGTGGTCGGTTTTTGCCGAATTTTTAGTAGTGAAATCCGATAAAAGCGAACCAATCCAAACCGATATAGTTGGTTTGGTTTGGTTTTGATAAAACCGAACCAACCCGGTCCATGTACACCCCTAATAAGAAGCATAACTCATTGTGGGGTGCTGAACCAAAGCAAGCTTCTTGGATTGTTCAAAAGATACTGAAAGCTAACAACTACTTTGAGGAAGTTGGATGTGCAGAAGAAGATGTAGTGGGAATGGAAAAGTTCTCCATCAAGGCCATGCATATGCAGCTTAGAGGAGACTTTGCTAAAGTGTCATGGAGGAAACTGGTTTGCAATAATGCTGGGTTGCCCAAGTTGATCTTTACACTATACCTGGCTGCTCATAGACGACTACTAACTAAGGACAGATTGAGGGGATGGGGCTGTTTGGAAGACACAACTTGCCCACTCTGCTATACAGAAGAAGAATCCATTGATCATCTCTTCTTCAGTTGTTCATACTCAGCACGAGTGTGGACAGCAATGTTACAATGGCAAGGGATACATAGCCAGGTGATGCCATGGGCAAATGAGATAGCATGGCTGAGAGACACTACAAGAGAAGGAGCACAAAATATGAAGTATACAGGCTGACACTTGCTGGCAACTTGTACTATATTTGGTAGAATCTTCCAAGTAAAGCAATGATCAGCAGCAATACTTAGTAGACTAATAACACAAGATGTACATGGTCGAGGTGCTTCCAAGCTGAGATTACAGAGAAGATTAATGGATCTTAACTACTATCCTACTGTTCAACTAGATGTTTAAATAGTAGGTATAGCAGTTAGTAACTAGGAAGACAAGATGAGTAGCTGAGTCTGGGCAGCTGTCCAGATCAGGCTAGAACAGAACAATATGTAAATAGTTCTGGTAAATTAAAAAAAATTGGTTTAATTACCAAAAAATAAAAACCTACTATGTGTGGTTATATTGATATCACCTTTCCGATTACAATACAATCTGCAGTGTCATGTATATTGATATTAGTACTTAAATTCAAGAAATCTGACTTAAGTACCTGACGCGTCCATCATTAGTCATGTATATATGGAAATCCCTCTGCAATCGGTTAACCTCTTTAGGGGATAAACCAGAGAAGTAAAACATTCCGACCTGAAAATTTGATATTTAGCAGCTGTATTTGATATACGATTTTAAAAAAGACTTAAGAATACCTGCTTGGTTATATGTTCCCAGTTTGCAGACGAATTCAATTCTTCAAGAGTTCGACGTAATTTGATTCTCATTCTGATCATTCGATCAGCCATGACCTTAAACAAAAGATATAATCAGTAAAACATAAGGAAATGTATTGGTAATTAGGACCTAACAACAGAGGCGAACCTATGCTATGGAGAGAGGGGTCACTGCTAACCATAAAGTTCGGCAAAAATTCCATGTATACATGCATATTTCTTTAGAAAATACTGATATCTTAGTAATGGGCACCCTATATACAAAGCAGATTTTGGTTGAATTCAAAAGTGCGCCCCCGAACTTCAAATCGCGGTCCACCTCTGCCTAGCAATACATAATGGAACATCAATTACCTTAATTTCCTCTTCCCAGAGTGCCTTTAAATCAGCATCATTCAAGATTGTAGATACTAGTAGTGGGCCGTGAAGAGGAGAGCTACTGTACATTGCCCTGACTATCTGCTGCAACTGGCTCTTGATTGCAGTGGCTTGCTTTACATCCCTGGAGACAATACTGGTTTCCAGAACAAAACAAGAAAAGGGGAAGCAAAAAGACGGGATGTTTTAGAATTGGAGACTAATCAAGAAACTATGAAAGTAACAGACCGTGTGGACTACTAAGCGCTAAAGTGGATTCAGGATTACCCTAAGAATGGACAAGTTAAAGTTACTTTGTTTGTTGATTCAGTGGTTTATTCTTTTGTTCGTAAGTGGATTGTCTAACCGATGAACGTTTAGTATTATTTCGATGTTGTTCAAAATGAGGAGTTGTAAAACACAGTAGCTTGAAGTGGTTAACCTGACACAACCTACTCGGTGTCCATACAATCCCATGTTTTTGGAAAAAGACTGAGCACAGCCCAGTAGATGTCCGTCGTCAAGGAATATCCGAATAGCAGTAGCATCTTTCTCAAGGTCCCCGCTAGCAATTCCTTGATAAGCCATATCAAAAAAAGGAAAATGATTCTTGATCTGAAATCAATTTTCACAAGAGATACCACATAAGATAGACTAAAAAAGTAAAATAAGAGAAAGAAAAAAGAATAAATTATTTCACTAACCTTGAATAGGTGAGAGATTTCTTTCCACTGCTCATAATTGGGGTCGACGCCAGTTGGATTATGAGCGCAAGGATGGAGTAAGAAAAAGGAACGATCTGAAGCATTCTGTGAGATTATCAAATGAATAGGGTCAGGAATAGTAGTCTAAACTCCTTAAGCGGAAAGTTAATAAAAGCAGAGTTTGCCTTCATATATTGTAACCACATACAACAGTATCGCAGAACGAGTATCTGTATAATGATATAATAAGTATTATTGCATTACTGCAAGGGCATTTTCTCTATTACATTTTTCGGGTAGGAGGATCATATGCATAATTACTTTCTGACATGATTCTTCAGCAAGGAGTTTCTTCGCTATGTTGCTCAGACGACTCTCCAAAAAATGTTGTTGCACTAGTGTCGGATCATCCAAAAATGCACTACTTTTGGAGGATCCGACATGCACCCAACAATATTTTTAAGAGTCCGAGCAACATAATTTATTGGTTACATCTAAATAGCTCAGCGACATAATCCATCTTTTACAAAGTAGCTGTAGGATGTGTGGTTCCAAAAGTGACTTCAGTTCGCCAGTTCAGGCTCAACACACAATCTCATATGTGCAGGAAAAGGGTGTAAAGTCATGTAAGGATGTAAGATTTTGCAGTGAAGTTAAAGCAAATATTTCACAGCAAAATTTGAGAAAACTCATCTTATCCTCCAGCATAAAACCAAACGTTGATATCATTCATGAGGGCTTGAAATTGCAATCCTTTTGTATCACGGTCATAATAGTTGTAGGTACTAGTACAAACTTCAGAATCCCTCCAAATGTCATTGTGGCTAAAAAGAACACATTCAATCACATTACAGATTAATAATGACAGGGCATGAAAACGAATTATAAGCATGAAAACATTTACTTGGACCAAGCTGGAATTGGTAGAAACATTCGTGAGTCAGGATAGAAGCGCCTTTGGAATTCAGCAAACAGACGGCATGCACCAGTCCCGGAAAGAGCTGGAGCTCCAGCAAACCTGCTTTCCTTAACAACATTAGAGTCATCTCCATAAGCCAATTTCACACAGTCCTGCACGAACTTTCACTTTGTTGTTGCTATTGTTGATTCCCTGCCAAGACCGGCTCAATATTAGACCAAACAACGTGTTCTAGAAAAGAGAGAATAGTGAAAATGGAACTGTGGTCCCATATCCATAGTAAGCTTTAAGAGAAATTTGACTGTAGAAAAACACAGCACAAAACTACAATAAATAGGATGAATCCGGAAAACATTCCTGGTTGGATATTTTGCAAATATCGTGAAAGTATTTGAGTACTCAACCAAACATTGTTAAGGCAACGAGTGAGGTAACCAGTGACGAAGCAAGGAAATTCAATAAGCTTGCACCCTTTGCCAATGGGCTATGCAAGGGTGTTGAAAGTCTATTTTTTAATCAATAACAAGTAATATTTTATCATATACATAGTATAATTTTTTGACGAAGGGTGTACAATGACCACTCTTGGTCATACATAGCTTCGCCCCTGGAGGTAACCCAAGATCCTTATAAAACACTTTGGATGCTCTTATACATCCACTGTGGAACATTTTGGGCTCATTTGGGCATAAATATTGTTCCACTATTTGCAAACACCGAGTCCCGTAGTTTGGCCATGACTATTTGAAATACTGAATTTCATTATTTAAACTTCAAGTAAAATATTGAAACACTGTTTGAAGGTGTATTTTAAGTGAAATACTGGTTTCCAAATCTTCAATTGTTTTCTTAAGTGAAGTTCATTCCAATCACTAGGTCAACTCCACGGATTTTTTTTTACTTCAACTCAAACATTGTCCAGCACCTAGAGTAGTAAGAAAAAACTGAAGTACATACGAGCAGGAACATAGCCTAACCTCTTCAGTAAAAACAATGTCTCGACCCAAACTAGTTGGTTTTGGCTATATGAATCAAACTAGCACATTTAAAATCCGGACATATATATATATATATATATATATTATATCTATTGGACACAACCGAAGCTTAAATATCTGTTCGATTCGCCCAATAAGCTGCCTAGTTTTAACTGTCTTTTTATTTAAATAAGTGATGGTGAAAGTTTCGATAAATCATGTTATTAAGAATAAAACAAAAACTACTAAAATTAAATATTTTAAAAAGTATATTATTCATTTAGTGACATATTAAAAAGAAAATTAACATAATTTACGAAAAAGAGAATGTTAAATAGCACCATTAGATAAAGTAGTCTGAGTACATAACATATTATTTTTGTTATATGTAATTCCTAATTTATCTGCTGTTATTTTGTGGCTTGAATTTTTTTCTTGTATTTTTAGGAATTTCATAATCCCTATAGGTTTGGGAAAACCCATTGTCCTAATAAATTTGAGAAAGAAAAATCTATTGTCCTTATCAAATTGGGAAACCTTTCTCTTATAGGTTAGAGACTATTTGAGATCTACATATAGGGTTTGTAGTTGGGGTTTCCTGAGATTGTATTGTGCTTTTCTTCTCATTCATAGTGGTAAACTCTCTCTGCTTTTGCCCCGAGGATTAGGCTTAGCTGAACCACGTTAAATCCCTGTATTGATTTTCTTCTCAATTTGCTTTTTGTGTGATTGTGTGCTAGTTAACCTACGATCTTTCGCAACAATTGGTATCAACTCAAGGTTCAGGTTTCTACATATAATTGAGGGTTAAGATGTCTTCATCATCTTCAACAAAGTACGAAGTAGAGAAATTTGACGGGGGTTCTAGGTTTAATCTATGGAAGATTAGGATGAAACCGTCCCTGGTATTACAAGGGTTATGGAAGGCAATTGATTAGGATTTTCCTGAAGAGATGAAAGAGATAGAGAAGGCAGATCTGAAGGAGAAGATTTTGAGTGCGATTTTCATGAGCATTACAGATAGCGTTCTTCGAGAAATTGCTGAAGAAACTTCTGCGGCAATGGCATGGAAGAAGCTGGAAGATCTGTATTCTAAGAAATCGCTGACAAACCGCTTCTACCTGAAAAAGAGGTTATACAATCTCCGTATGAACGAAGGTACACCTGTTAAAACTCACCTAGATGAACTTAATTCAATTATAATGGACCTGAAGAGCGTGGATATCAAAATTGAGAGTGAGGATCAGGCATTGATTGTGTTATGTTCTCACCGTCTTATGATACTTTTGCCGATACACTGCTATATTGGAAAGACAACATGTCACTAAAAGATGTTAGTAAAGCACTAAAATCTAAAAAGTTGAAAAAGAGCTTTCCAGACAGCAGAATTGAGGGCGAGAGTCTTGTGAGTAGAAGGAGAACACAACAAAAGGAGTTTAGCAGAAAAAAGTCAACCGCCACATCAAAGTCTAGAGCAAGGAGGCAATACTATTATGAGTGCGGGGAGCAAGGTCACTACAAGAGAGATTGTCCTAAGCTGAAGGAGAAAAGAGGGAAGTAGAAAATAGATAATTCGGCAAATGTAGTTGACACTACCAATAATTCTGATGATAGTGATTATGTAGGGGAAGTCTGTGCCGTGAGTTCTAGTCATGGACAAAATTCCTAGATTCTTGATTCTGGTGCTACTTTCCACATGTGTCCACACAAGAATTGGTTTGCAACTTATAAGCAGATCAGTGGAACTGTCTACATGGAAGATGATAATCCATTACCAGTAGAGGGGATTGGTAACATTATATTGAGAATGTTCAATGGAATTATTAGAAATATTGAGTAGTGGCATGTTCCTCGGATAAAGAGAAATTTTATCTCTCTTTCGACATTGGATGATCAAGGGTTTCACTCCGAGAATGGAATACTTAATGTGTGTAAAAGCTTTATGGTGCTCATGAAGGGTAAACTGCATTCTAAATTGTATCATCTTTTGGCTAGTATAGTTGAAAGAGAAGCTGATGTAGCTTCTGGGAAAAGTGATCTAAATCAGTCTCAGTTGTGGTACGTGCGACTTGGTCATATGAGTGATAAGGGATTGTCTTTGTTGAGTAAGCAGATATGCTGAATGGGTACAAAAATCAAGTTCTGGATGTTTGTAAGCATTGTGTGTTTGGTAAACAGACAAGGGTAAAGTTCAGCAAGAAGTCCGAGCACAAGATCGGAGGCAAGTTAGATTATATACATTCAGACTTGTGGGGTTCAAATAAAGTTTCCTCCAAGAGTTGTGCCAGGTATTTTATGAATTTGAATGATGATTACTCAAGGATGATGTGGGTGTACTTTTTGAAAACAAAAGATGAGGCATTTCCGATATTTGTTAAATAGAAGATGATGGTTGAGAGGCACATGGAAAGAAAAGTTAAATGCCTTCGGACTGACAATGGATTGGAATTTTGCAATTGTAAGTTCAACAATTTCTGCAGGAGAAAGGGCATAGTGAGACACCAAACTTGTGTCGGAACACCACAACAGAATGGTGTTGCAGAACATATGAATAGAACACTTTGTCATAGGGCACAAAGCATGCTTTCACACTCATCTGTTAGCAAGAATTTTTGGACTGAAGCAATCACTACAGCTTGTTATTTGGTCAACAGATCTCCATCCACAACTAATGAGTTCAAACTCCTTTTAAGGTATGGTCCGGTTCGCCTGCTGATAATTCAAATTTAAGGATGGTTGTCCTTCTTATGCTCATGTGATGGATGAAAACTTGAGCCGAGGGCAAAGAAGTGCATATTTCTAGGGTATGCAATTGGAGTTAAAGGTTATAGGTTGTGGTGCACAGATCAAAAGGCTCCATGGTTAATTATAAGTAGGGATGTAACATTCAATGAATCTGCCTCACTGGACAGTCAGAGGGAGAAGGCAATAGCAGAAACAGATTGTGGTGTCAGTGACCGCATAGAGCTAGATATTGAATCTCCACTAGCTCAGCCCAGTAGTTCTAAAGTAGAGGAAGTGGATGAGGTGCATAATGTTGATCAAGATGATAATGTTGATACACCTGCGCAACAACCATATAGCATTGCAATAGGCAGGGAGAAGAGAGTGATCAACCGACCGCAAAGGTTTGCAAACGATGTTGATGGAAATCTTCTTGGATATACGAATCATGTGGGATTTTCTTTGGCAGTCGCAGAGACCGTTGATGTGTTTGAGTGTTATAGCTATCCAGAAGTTATTCTGGGTACATAACCAAATCGACAGATTAGTGTTATGGCTAAAGAGATTGAGTCTCTTAACAAGTTTAGGCGTTGCCTAGATTTGGTTGATGTGTGCGGTAATGGGTAGAGCACTTGCGAGGGCTGAGGGCAAGGTAGAGAGACGTTGATCCTGTTGATGAGGAGAATTCAAGCCAAGGGGAAGATTTGTTATCCTGTTGATCCTAGATTTTCATTGTATTTTTAGGAAACCCATAATCCCTATATGTTTGGAAAAAACCATTGTCCTAATAGATTTGGGAAGGAAAATCTATTATCCTGTCAAATTGAGAAACCTTTCTCTTATAGGTTAGGGACTATTTGAGATCTATATATAGGGGTTATAGTTGGGGATTCTATAGATTGTATTGTGCTTTTCTTCTCATTCATAGTGGAAAACTCCCTCTGCTTTTGCCCCGAGGATTAGGCTTAGCCGAACCTCGTTAAATCCTTATGTTGATTTTTCTTCTCTATATGCTTTGTGTGTGATTGTGTGCTAGTTAACCTACGATCTTTCACAACATCTGCCTTTAAGTTATTTTAAGTAAAACAAAGAAGGGAGGAATTGGAAGACTTAGCTTTCAATCCCGAAGTCTCATGCCTTTTTACATTTGCATTTTACATCTTGCAATTTACTTTAAAATGGACCAAAATTCTATTCATTGCATTTTTAAAAATTATTACACGTTCAACATAAATTAAAAATTCAAATTAATTAGCTTTTTCAGACTACTATATGTGTTCAAGTGAATGTTGCATATTTAATTATTTATTTATCTTTTATTTCAAGGGATCTAATTGTCTATGTATTTTGCTAAGCACATAAAAGTCAAATAGTTAGCCCGCACTTGATGAAATAAACTATTTTGTAATAGTAACTTAAGGGGAAAATGAATTTAAGGAATACAAAAAAACATTCAAATTTCTAGAAGCCATCCTCCTCATGTCGAAGGTATCCAAGAAAATCTGTGTGTTCAAATATTCTTATAATACTACTCCATTTTAAAACCAGTGTCCCAGGTTTTACTCTTAGTTATCTTGTTCCAGTGGGCTGTGTTATAGCTCGATTAATGGCCTATTTTCCCTTTTGCTTCAAAGAACCAAAAAAACATTGTCAATAGCTTCAATCACATATACAAATGAGACAGATTTAGGATTTAAATTTAATGGGATTAACTTTTAAAAAATTTAACATTGAACTTTTGTACCGTTAAAATTATTCGTTCAAATCTAACATTACCTGTTGAGATTTTAGTAAATTTTTATATATTAATTCATACTCTGTATCTAAAGTTATCGGTTCAGTTAAACCCGTAGTCGAAAGACTTTATCCACGCCTGCACGTAGGCGAAAATTGCTCATTGTTTGGTAAGGTAATTTACATATTATTACATACTTTATAAACTTTTGAATTACACAACTTAAAAAGCACTAGTGTAGGAGTAAATAATTGTAATTGCACTCTGTCGATGCCCCCTTTTCCTTGCGAAATCGGGTTTAT